ACGCACACACGCATGCATACTATTTATTGTCAAACTTTTGTTCTTGGCGTCTGTTGTAAAATTGAGAATAGATTAAATATTGTTTACCTTTGGTAATATTTTTATAGTGTAGTCTTGGCGAAATTTGTGATTATAGAAGTATAAATTATAATTATAATAGTGTACAAACTTACAATTCCAATTAATTATAGTCGAATTTCGACTACTGCGGGACCTCTAGTATTCTTTAATTATGGATAGCTCTGTTTTCAGTGACAAGCCATTGAATTTCCGAAACAAGAATTGGTTTTAGACTTTTTAGTTGCTTAAGAGTTTTGCCGATAAATGAGCATCAAAAGAGATCTCAACGATGAATCGCATCGGCAGCAATACGCATTAAGTGCCATAGAACAAAAGCCGCCACCAAATGTAGATGATACGGCCGTATTTGCATAGAGAAAATCATTTCGCGTATCGAGGACCCGTTTGTGTCTCGCAACGGAATAACGTGCGGTGACCATGTTTGTTGGAACGACGCAGAAATAATAATAATGATTGAACGTATTAGTTAATGTTTTTTTTTTTTTTTTTAATTCAAAACTTCTTTAGAATCGTTGTGATTTCAAACCGGATGCAACGGAAAAAACGACAGGTAAGAGACACAAATACAAAAATGTGGAGGATGAAGCCAGCAAAGAATGAGACAGAAATATACATACTCTTTAATACAGCGCCATCTGTGAGATTTTTTAATACTAACGTGTGTATGAAAGCTCTTGTAGTGAATTTTAATTTAGGATTATACGTGAAATTAAAATATCAATTCACAGAGGGCGCTACCTAGAATTATTTACTAATGACAAAATTTTACATATACTTAAGACGTTTAGGATAATTGTATTTTAATTTTGGAAGGTTTCACTTCTACCATTTGTGAACTGCACACATTTTATTTTTTTGTATTCCTTGGATGGATGGACGAGCTCATAGCCTACCTGGTGTTAAGTGGTTACTGGAGCCCATAGACATCTACAACGTAAATGCGCCACCCACCTCGAGATATAAGTTCTAAGATCTCAGTATAGTTACAACGGCTACCCCACCCTTCGAACCGAAACGCATTACTGCTTCACGGCGGAAATAGGCGGGGTGGTGGTACCTACCCGTGCGGACTCACAAGAGGTCCTACCACCAGTGATAATGTAAATTTTACCGTTAACCCTTCAGGCATTAGGTCGAATATCCTTGAAAGCTGTTGTGGCGTTTAAGACGCCCTGTGTACACATTTCGGCTATGCCGGTGTTTCAATTACAGCAGGTAGATTATTATACTCTAGTCATATTTTTTTTAGTGAAACCTTTGGTATTACGTCTGTGACGTGAGGTAATAAATAAATACTAGTGGTCCCCGCAGTAGTCGAAATTCGACTATAATTTATAAGAATTGTAAGTTTGTACACTATTATGATTGTATTTTATACTTCTATATTCACAAATTTCGCCAAGACTACACTATAAAAAATATTAACAAAGACAAACAATACTTAATCTATTCTCAATTTGACAACAGACGTCAAGAACAAAAGTTTGACAATAAATAGTATGCATGCGTGTGTGCGTCAAATACATGGTATGTAGTGTGTGTAATGTTTTCTTTAGTGATTTAATGTGTCTTTTATGCATTATTTAAAAAAAAGATTAGCATGGTGCACTTCTTCTCTATATTCTCTATAAGTGTGGAAAATTTCATACTCCTCTGACCGCGCGCGCAATTTTCGTAAAAAGGGATACAAAGTTTTTGCTTCACGTATTAATATATAGATAAATATTTACTAAAAATCACGCCACGTTAACGGGTCCCGTGATAAGTTCGTAAAGAACTTGTGTTACAGGTACCAGATAGCGGAAATAAATGGAAGATTTTTATTATACACATACATATATTTAATATACATCCATAACCCTGGAAAAGACATTTATATTTATCATACAAATATCTTCCCTTGGCGGGATTCGAACCCGCGACCCCCTTGTGTAGTGACTATGTCACTTACCACTACACCAGACGGCCGTAATAATGGCCATGATGAAGGAATCGTCATCATCTCAGCCTGTATACTGTTGGACATAGGCCTCTCCCAACTAATGTCCCGCGCGGCCGATCCGTTACCACCTGCATCCAACATGACCCAGCGATTATACTAGGTCATCGTTATACCATCTGGTATAGCATAGAAGGAATAGCATCGTCTCCTATACGTGGCCTGTAAGTTTTAAAAGTATCCATGAAAACTGAACTGGGATAAATAAGCTCCTAATCACAACTGTACGTTTGAATGTTGGGACAAACGTTGTACAATACTTTTCAAATTTCAACTTTGTGTCCCAATGTGGAAGGTCGTATTTATTTTGTTGTTAATTAGCTAAAATGGGCACACAATACTTCGTAGGCCGATAACTCCTGTGTTCTTTAATTTGAAAAAAAAAAAAACATTAGTTATACGCATAAGATCAAATGTTCATACATGCCACGATCGTGACCGGAATCACACATTGCGATAACATTGATAATGCAATTCACTGTCAATGTCCCAATCTACAAACTGCCCAGGGATAACTAATTTTGTGTCAGAGCTAACAAAATATATCAGAGCTTGTTATCGCGTGCCCTTATTTTATTTTTGACCGGCCCTATTCAATGTCACTGCTGCTAATAGACATCAAAACTTTGAATGTGACCTTGAGAGAAAAGGTGGGATTCTTAGTGGTTGGTTGAGTTTACCCATTCGGACAAACCCACCAGCAAAACCTCTTCACATTACCTGGAGGTAAGCGTCAATTGCTATCATAAAATTTCCTATGTCTGCATATTTTAGACTAAGCAAACTCTTATTAGATGCGATAGCCAGGGAACCACGGACCGTCTTGAATTATGATGCCAGTCTGAATTGCAAAAGGATTAATAATTATTTAACTTGGAACGCATGACTGGTTCGAGGTCTTCAGGCAGGATAGTGACGATTTACGTCCTCAATATCTAATTATGTATCGAACTGAAAAGAAAATGATTCTTTATATTAAAATTAAATGACCATTATGAATTAGAATCACTGTCTGTCCCGAGGTTCTAATCACAATATTATCTTATAACTATATAACATATAACATTAGCTGGTGGTAGGACCTCATGTGAGTGCGCACGGGTAGGTTCCACCACCCCGCCTATTTCTGCCGTGAAGCAGTAATGCGTTTCGGTTTGAAGGGTAGGGCAGCCGTTGTAACTATACTGAGACCTTAGAACTTATATCTCAATGCGGGTGGCGCATTTACATTGTAGATGTATCTGGGCTCCAGTAACCACTTAATATCAGATGGGCTGTGAGCTCTTCCAGCCATCTAAACAATAAAAAAATAAGAATTCTAAATGTCCAAGTTAGTAAGTAAATCGTTTTTGATTCCGAAACATTTAAGACGTTTTTTTTTTTAAATTCAATCTAATATTTCTTCGAAGACGAAAGCTTAATGAGGAACTTTAAAGCCATGGTCACCCCATAAAAGGGTTAAAACGCCAAGCCATCCGTAAAATAAACGAAAACGTATTTTCGCGTAAAAATACAAGCTCTGTTTAGTTACGACAGACTTCGACTTTTCAACCTTTTATATTACGTAACTGCTTTATACAATATTCGTAGGTAGGTAGGTACTTCAATATATTGAAGCAGTAATAATATTACGTAATAATACTTTTTTGTTTTTTTGTTTCTGTGACGAAGGAAAATAAAATTTACATAGAGTAGTAATAAAAGTATGAAATTCGTAAGTTATATGCTCTGTTTGTTTTAGTTTCAATGCGCTCTTACAAAAGTATTTTTTTTATCTACTCTTGACTTTAAGTCCCGATAATTTTCTCGGTTAATCTTCTCAGTAAATCGCAATTACTATCAGGTGGTAAATGTACTTGCGAAGCAGCTACCCGTTAGCAGCTTTTTACTAGGGATGGGGGGCGTGGCATGTCGGAGTCGAAGTGACTAAGCCCTCCTATCGCTCAACAACCCACGTCCGAACCTTGCATGAGCCAGAACTCATGAAAAGGCAAAGGGCGGAAAGTGAAGTGTTTAGTGCGGAGCATCTCTGCCATCACCCTCCCCCTCAGGACGCCGGACCGGCAGTCGTCAGCGCCATGACCACCAGTCCTCTCGGTCGGCAGGCTATCTGAAGCCCATCTAGATGGCGTCGGTTAGAGTGGGTGCCCGTTAGCAGCTAGGCCTCTTTTGGTGACACTTGGGTCTCAATTAGTAAGCCCTACCCTTCCAACTGAGCTTTCGCATCCACCTGGTTTAAAGTAGCTACCGGAGCCCAATTAAATTCGTAAATTCACACACCTTGGGACAAGAGTTCTAAGCTCTTAGTTTTAACAGTACAACAGCTGCCCACTCTTCAAACCGAAACTCATTACTGCTTACTGCTGCATCAAATAGCCAGGGACGTGGTATCTACCCGTGCAGACTAAGAAGACGTCTTACCACCAGCAGTAAATCCCGCGATTTAGGCACCGCTCGATTTAGTTATGTTTAGATTGGATTGAAAAGATTCTTAAAAACTAATATTTCAACCAAAAAATAAATAATCGGAGACATATTTCACAAAAGCATCTATGCTATGCGTATCGGAGACCGATATTCATAATTATTTACGATTTTACATATTTAGAAACTTGTAAATACGTATATGTATGTAGAAATTAAACAGAGAGTACACAAGAAACTTTGTTCATCACACGGATTTTTGCCCGATATCCCAATTCATATCTGCTCGAATAACTTTCATAAAATTTATTGTAAAGCTAAACCTGTCGTTTTTCTTTCTTTACTGAATAAATTAATTGATAATTAAAGAAACTTGTACCTGTACTGCCCCTGGCATTGCTGAAGTCCATGGGCGACAGTAACCACTTACCATCAGGTGGGCCGTATGCTCGTCTGCCTACACTTGTATATGCTAAACCGTAAACTTTGATTCCAGGTGTCAACAAGAACTGGGATAGTGTCGCATTACGTACGTCTCCAGATAGTGGTTCCGGAGGCCTTCATTCTTGGCTCCGGAGAACACCACGTCGATCTGGGCAGCGTCATCCACCTCATATGTATCGTGGAGAAGGTGTGTATGTCCTTCGAAATAAGTTAAAAAGGAATAAGTTATGGCGAATTATAGATTTAGGGAGTTCCTGATATTGCTAGTATGATATACTATGAACATAAGGAGGTTATATATACACGTTATTATGTCGCTTGCAACAATGCCTAAGCATTTGGATTTCACTAAAACTAAAAATCATGATAAGAACCCGTACTAATTAATATAAATAGCCAAAAACAATTAAAACAATTCGTAAGCTTACAAAAACGGGTGAGTTACGGCTTTTTTTTTTCGAAAATACTCAAAATTCAAAACTCAAAAAATGGCCGCAACCGAAAAAGGAAAGGATTATAGAACCCAATGCTTAAATGATGTAACTATGTAATAATACTATGTGGTTTAACTCGAGAGCGTTCATTCGAGATATTATCAAGGATTACATGAATCGGGGATTAGAAAATCGATCATATCTATAAAGTTATTAGACGGTAATCGGATCTCTGTCTGCCTCCGACGGCAAGTTGGAGGATATACAAAAACTCAAGATTATCATAGGTACTCAGACCACGCCGATATATCTTAAGTGACATAACACGTACAAAACCAAAATCTCCGATCGATTCAGCATTCTCCAAGACGTGTGTATATGGAATTTGCAAAACGTTTGGATTCAAAGAACTTCTTAATACTATACAATTCTTAGACAAATCATCCATTGGAGACCCACACGGCTTTTTAGCATTCAACTGACTTATAGTACATGAGGGGCCAATTCAAACGTAGATGTAGTAGTACCTATGTAGATATTTAATGTAATGAATTATATATATATCAAATTATTACATAGCACCATTAAAATCGCAAAAAGGTAATGGAATCTTTTTCGATCGTATTGCCATTTTCGGATAACTTCTTAAACAATGCCGAAGCACCTAGATCCAATTGTTTTTCGGAATGCTTCAGCTAATCCCTATTTTGATAACATCACCTAGTACTGCAGAGTAATATAGTCATTTAATGTTTAAACAGAACTATTTCTTTAAACTTTGCTTCCGTCACCACTATGAAGCATAATTTTTCTGTTTTTTTTTAAATTGTTGTTGTTTTTGGTTTACGTTTTGTGTTAATTATTTAATTCTAGGCGATGCAACGCCACAAACGTTTAGTTATTTAAATGATGTTTAGTTGTAAGATAAGTTTTTATATATTTTAAGATTTTACAGATAATATAAATATTAATTTAATCCTCTGGTCCATAAACAATATTCCTAACCTAAAAGTACATGTTATTATCCGCAAAATGCTTCGTCAGATTACAGAAATAAAGTTATCAGCAACATGCTTCGTCAAAAAGTACAATACTTACTTTCAGCTGCAAGCGTCGTCATTTTAAGATCACTGTTTGGCTTTAAAATAAAATTAAATAAAAAAACATAAAAAATAGTTAGTGCCATTTTTTATTAATGTGTCTGAAGCTGATAAAGTAAAAAAAATGTATTAATAATACTTGCGTTGGCTTGGTGTTGCGATGAATGAGAACCAGCCAATACCTAAAACACTTCATTATAGATCTTCCCGATCCATTAACGGTGCTTTTAGGTACCTCAAGCACCGGTCACCGTCCTCGCCGAACCCGTCGCTTGCGACGAAGAGCTCGATGAGCGAATTAGTTCATAGACACAGCCCACTGAGTTTCTCGCCGTATCATCTCAGTGGGTCGCGTTTCCGATCCGGTGGTAGATACTGCGAAGCACTGCTCTTGCTAGGGCCAGTGTTAGTAACACTCCGGTTTGAGCCCCGTGAGCTCATCTACACGTTAGGGTGAAGCTGAAATAGGCTCTCAAGGCTATCGCATAGGTAGGGAAAAAAAGAGAACCAGACAATAACTTGCACAGGTTCATTCGTTCAATCAATCATTAATGTAATTAAATAATTTCATTAAAATACCACATTTTATTTGTTGCCGTGAAAATAATTCTATATTTTTTTTATTTCTTACATGGGTGGACGAGCTTACAGCCCACCTGATTTTAAGTGGTTACTGGAGCCCATAGACATCTACGACGTAAATGCGCCACCCGCCTTGAGATATAAGTTCTAAGGTATCAATATAGTTACAACGGCTGTTCCAACCTTCAAACCGAAACGCATTACTGCTTCACGGCAGAAATAGGCGGGGTGGTGGTACTTACCTGTGCGGACTCACAAGCGGTCCTACCAGTAGTAATTACACAAATTACAATTTTGCGGGTTTGATTTTTATTACACGATGTTATTCCTTCACCGTGGAAGTCAATCGTGAACATTTGTTAGGTACGTATTTCATTAGAAAAATTGGTACCCGCCTGCGGGATTCGAACACATACGAATGCGTCTGTGTCTTATCCATCCTGTAGGCCACAACAATTCTTAATTTATAAACTTCTTAAATTATAAATTCTTCAAATTCGATTTCTTCAATTATAAAAGAACATTGTGCAAAATAAAAGCAAACATGCGTTATCAAATTCACATTCAACCTGAAAACTGTACAATCAATAGCTCTGATAATATTGTAAGTATCATAAATAAAAATGTCGCAAACGGTAATAAAAATTGGAGAAAAAAATACCTCATATATTAAATCGAAGAACAACAATATTTTACGGGTGTCGCGTACGGAAACTCATAAAAAAAAAAACAGAGCGAAATCATAAAATATTATATTTGTTATACGTATGTACGTGGCAGGATATAACACGGACCGACTTATTAATGTATGGTACTGCTCATTTTATTGGCACTCACGAAGCATTTTATTGCAGTTGTACAAAATCTGAATGTTATTTTCAAACTTTCGATAGTTGATTTTCGAGTTTAATGTACTAAAGTTCACTGATTATTCATCTGTGATATATAACTCTTTTATGAGTTCTAGTTTTATTTTGTGACTCGTATTTTATGAGGGCAATGCCTCGGTGTGGCTTACAATAGAATGCTTCGAAAAAATTTCATATTTATATGAAAACAGATACATAATAATAATTATTAATTAAAATTATTTATAACAACGGATTATTATCATTTTTGAAAAATATTAATTGAATTATTGAACCTTATAAATATATATATTTTTTTATTACTTAGATTGGTGGACGAGCTCACAGCCCACCTGGTATTAAGTGGTTACTGGAGCTCATAGACATCTACAACGTAAATGCGTCACGAACCTTGAGATATAAGTTCTAAGGTCTTAATATGGTTACAACGACTGCGCCACCCTTCATACCGAAACGCGTTACTGCCTCACGGCAGAAATCACAGACTCACAAGAGGTCTACCAGTATTAAAAGATCATTATCAAAAAATTTTAATAATTATTAATATGCCGTAAAATTTGATAACGAAATCTCTGCATTAATTATAAAAGTTTCCAAATGATCGGAAATCTTAATTATAGTAATAAATGTTCACTTCAGAGTGAATTTTCTTACTCTTTCCTTCTTTCTCTCCGACTTTTTAACCTCTTTGTGTATCACGGAGGGCTGTAATTTTTAAAAGGCTCATGACAATCTCTCGAATGAAAATAATGTGATGCTTATTCAAAATCAAACCCGCAAAATGTATAAAATATATTTCAATATGCAATTTCGAAAAGGGCACATATCGCATATGTTTTCAAATACGTTTTTTCATATACATGTAGTTTTGAGGCTCACCTACACCCATTTTATAATAATTCCAGTAATTTTCAATTGCTAATTAACACTAAAATATATCTCATAAGTTAATATTCCAAATTTTACACTGCTTTAGAAAATAATCAGCTTTTTCCATTTCCTGAACCTTTTACATTTTCAGAGATGTGCCCTTTTCGAAATTGCATATTCATTTGTAGACATTTGATAATTCGTATTGTAAAATTAAAAGGCAGGGTCCTGAAACTGCGATACTTTAACACAAATATATTTTTTTGTATGGAAACTATCGACATCTTGTAGCGGATACCCGCTAAACTTATATTATGTTGTTAAAGTTAAGTCATTTAATTATTGTACAATAACTAAACACAGAAAATGAAAAAACAATAAATCATACAAGTCTTTATTTGCTATAGACAAATTGATTAAATTTTATCGAATTTGTGGTTTGTGAAAATTTCCAAAAATTTTCATTAACAATAAAATATAGGATAGGTAAAATGTTACTGTCATCTACAGGAGCGATGAGAAACTAATCGAAGCGAAGCCATCTAGTGGTCGACGCCCGTAAACTTGAGTGCTTGAGTTGCTTATCTATAACTAATTTATGTGTATTATCTATGTTGAAAGGCGTTATTGATTTTTTCAGAGTCCAACACCCCCGCAATACGTCTTCTGGTACCATAATGACAGGATGATAAACTATGATGCTACAAGGGGTGGGATCACAGTGGAGACCGAGCCTGGTGCCCGTACCCAGTCCAGACTCACAGTCAGAGGCGCAACACTCAAAGATTCCGGGAATTACACATGCAGCGCTAGTAACACTGAGCCTGCTTCTATACACGTTTTCGTGTCGGAGGGAAGTGAGTGCAAGAAATTATTGAAGTGAAACTTCTTTATCGGCGTTGGAAAAAAATTTACCGTCACATTTTTCGGTTACGCGTCACATTTTTCCGTTACGCGCCATCTTTTTTGTATTCATGTCTATGATAATAAAATCCTTTTGTTTAAACTTTATCTAATTTAACTTTTTTGTATTCATGTCTATGATAATAAAATCCTTTTGTTTAAACTTTATCTAATTTAACTTTATTTAACCAATTTCTAGAAAGTTGCATGTAGATCATTTTTCGAAAAATAAGGCCATAAACAAGTTTCACTTCTTACGTGTGTACACTAGTACACGCACACATTTTTTTTAATTCCTAAGCACGTTTCTTACCTAGCCCTTCGTGGTGCTCATTAATATAATCACAACAGAATATTAATCGTATTTAAGCTATTACATAGCTTTTATCGCGGGCTTTGAGCGCGGCGACCGAATTCCGTAACGGCCGAGAAATTCTGTAACGAAAATAAAATCTAACACCCCCACTCTGCCTACCATATAGCTCGCGTTCAACGCATTCACGCGTTGCACTTGTGTAGTGTTTGTGAATAAGCGCGCGGCGTGACGTCGCACTGCATGCGCATCATGAAAAGTCTCCCCGTCTCTCTCTCGCGCGGTCTAGCTTATGAGTATGAAGGGGACAGTTAATGATTTGCTTTTGTTAATGTTTATAAATATAGCGTGCTCTTATTTTATTATTGTTTTAATATTACCAGTTAAAGTCTAATTAAAATAGCATAAGTTGATAAAAAATGCTATGCAATAGCTTTACCGCAGCAGTCCCCGAGTGCCACACGTGTTTTTATTTAAAACAAAATCTGCCTTATGATGTTATCAGTCTTCTATTAAAACGAAAAACCTTAATATCACTTCTCGTCTGATTGAGTATCTTAAGCACGAAAAGTTACATCGTTGCCTTTCATTTCCGTTTTAGAAGTTAAAGATTAATTATAACTTCAACAAGTTTAAGTCGATTGTTTTGAGCTTGCTCAAAATAAAGCCTACTGATATTGTTATATTACAATAATAAACATAAACAGAACCAATCTGTGTTTTGTTCGTAAATAATTTTTTATTCGTGAGATTTTTATATTTATGGTTACTTACGGCTATTGAGATAAGGTCGTTTTCCATCATTTTAAACGACAACGCTGTTTAGTAGCATTTAAACAATGATGCTTCTAGGTGACGTTAGTATGATTAGGCAAGTCAAGCACTATTTTAAGTAAGTTTTTTATGTGCTTTTAAACGGCTATGGAGAGTAGAAGCAAGGAGCACCATGTCAGTGTATTAAATGGTGTTCGCTGAAAGAGTGACCAATTTAGGTGGCGCAATAGTAGCAAGTGGAAAGAATTTAAAAAACGGTGCGCTTGAATGAAGTAAAACTTCTTTTTCGATGTGTAGTATTGTATTATAGTTTTCTTCATTTTTCATCCTTAAATCAGATTGCTCTTGTAATAGGGAATGCTGTGTATAAGAGATGCGACATCTTCAACATTTATATTATATATATTTTAAATTATAGATAGAGAAATAAATATGTAGTTTTTTTTAAATACTTCATTAAAACATTGGACGCTACTCGTTGCTAACACTCGCGCTGGCCTGTAACAGCTATACTACGCGCGTGCGTTCGAGTACCACGCATTCACTCTCGCTCTGTCTCTTTCTATTCCATGGTAGCGTTAAATGTTTAACGCAACCTTCTTGGAAGTCGCATTAGAAGTTTCACTTCAAAACATCGCTATAAACTACCACACTTCACATAAATTCAGCACACTTCACTGTTTAAAACTGCTATTCATTCATATTTCCTACACTAGCGCTATTTCGATGAGTCTTCCAACAATAGCTCCATATAAACGGCCAATTATTATGATTCCAGGTAACAAAATGGCGGCGATACTTCGGCGCAACACGAGCGCGATCCACGGGATCACCACTAGCGCCACCTGTCTGCTCCTTCTGGGCACAGCGCTCATGCACTATGGTTTGCGATGACGTCAATAGACCAAACACTCATTAGATATAGTTCTAATAGGCTCAATACAAACAATGCTCGAGACATCACTTGACATAACAGTGTATAACTGACAATAGTAAAATTGTTGTTGTTTACTTGCCACGTTTCATAGTTGTTCATTTGAAATACCTCTAAGGTATGTGTTGAACTTAAAATTATGAATTTATCTATACTTTATTGCTCTATCGTTTGAAACATTCCTACTCTCTTTGACTTTGACAATTAAGAAAATAAGTTTTTGTAATTTACGATATAAAACTCTTGTGTAGCGGTGTTTGTTGCCAAATTCCTGCGAAATGGTTAAACCGATTCTTATGAAATTTTGTGTGCATATCGCGTAGGTCTGAGAATAGGTCAACATTTATTTTTCAAACCCTTAAATATTGAAGGTGGTCTACGCAACAAAAAATATTTCCTAGAAATTATATATATGGCAAAACAAAGTTTGCCGGGTCAGCTAGTTTTAGAATATATTATTAACACAGGTACCCAGTTCTATGAAGATACACTCATTAAATTATATTAAAAACATAATTGGTCTAATTTTGCCGACGTAAAATAAGTAGTGTAGTTTATTGATTGGCAAGTGATGTCTTACGAGATGTCTCTTTAGATAAAATTAAATTATGACTGTAAAGAATAGAGAAATGATTAAATGTATTACTACTATAAATATAAAATAATTTAATATTACATTATAAATTCAAATTCTAATAAATTGTAACATAGAAAAATATTAAATTTAAGAGTTTAATAGAAAATGAAAAAAAATTACGTAAACTTTCATTTCTATTATGTGAAATGAAACATTCTAAAATACTGATATCTAGATTACAAATTATTGAAATTGTAAATTGGATAAGATTTTACAGTTAACGATGTTCGAAATTGAAACTGAATTTAAAAGTTATATTGAAAAAAAAATATCCTCGGATAATGTTTTTATCATTTTCGTGACATATGACAAAACACTATTTGCATATTTTACAGTTTTAACGTTTTTTTTTTTTAATTTAAAGTCGTTTAAAATGTTTGTTATCTGTTATTAAATCAAAGTGACATTTGACATTCACAAATTTATTATGAAATTATGAACCACAGACGCCAAAAGTCGCGCAACGTCGGCTAACCTCGTACAGCCACATATGTCCAATATCTTTGGTCACTTTAAGGAAGTTAAAGCAGTTAGAAGTACTACAACTAGACACTATCCAATGCGATAGACATGTTAATGAAACTATGCATTTTCTTAATCGGTTCCGAAATCAAAAACATACAATACGTCTGATTTTGTAATTTTTATTGTCATATTGTACTTAAATACATTAATTTAGTGCAATAAAATGCAATTTTATAAATTTCATACAGCAATTTTTACTTTGAGAACAAAAAGTTTGCCAAAGCAATTTTACAATTTAAAGAGCTCTTCAACACAAAAGAACGTTCTTGAGACATATTTAATTAAATATTATTACCATTTCGTTTTTGGTCTCGGTTTCAGGCTTAGCTAATAAAATTTTCTTCTTATTCGGACAACTGGAAGTCAGTAAAAATGGCGTCTAAATATTCCGTTACATAGATAAATAGAACTATAAAATGGTATGACCGTAAGTTGCGTAATTTTGAAAACCTTGTACTGGTGGTAGGACCTCATGTGAGTCCGCGCGGGTAGGTACTATCACCCCGCCTATTTCTACCGTGAAACAGTAATGCGTTTCGGTTTGAAGGGTGGGGTAGCCGTTTGTAACTATACTGTGACCTTAGAACTTATATCTCAAGATAGGTGGCGCATTTACGTTGTAGATGTTTATGGGCTCCAGTAACCACTTAACACCAGGTGGGCTGTGAGCTCGTCCACCCACTTTAGCAATAAAAAAATTAAAAAAATCGATACAAACCCAAAATGTTCTTTATGCTATGATTTTTAGATTAATACACCCTGTATGTATGCAAGCCAGTTTTTATCCTAAGTTAATCAATCAATTTAATTCTGTAAAAGAAGTATTGTGTTAACGAAATCACTGTTTAATTTGAAAACATCGTTTTCACATGTACTTTTTTGGGCAATGGGTATTATTACTGGTGATACCATAAGCTGTAAAATCGTTAGTCTATGGTTAAACCATGGTGTTAGATAATAGATAATAAAATATAAAAATAGAATTGTAATATACAAAAAACGTATACTTTGAGAATTCGAGTTAATGATTTAATTCTAAATAATGTTATGTATCCATTTGTAAATAGTTACATTGAATAGTTGATAGTACGATGTAAATAAATATGGTCGGTGTTTGAAAAATATTTGATTATGTACATAAGAAACTTTTTTTGTGATTACACGTAACGCAATAAAGATTACAATTTCCTTGAAGTTCAGGTTTTATTTGAACTACAGGGGGTGGTTTGGTGGTGTATATATCGAATGTAATAGAAAATTTCAATGTCTCCTTGTGAGGCTTCTCTTATCAATATTTGACCTCACTATGATTTTTTTTGTTATTGCTTTTGTATGCAGATGAGCATACGTCCCACATGATGGTGATCGGTTATCGTCGCCCATGGACTTAAGCAATGCCAGGGGTAAAGCCAACCCGTTGCCTACTGTTAACTAAAATCGAGCGACCTATGAGCTCATTTGACTATTCACACAGATGCCACTTGCCAATAATAATGACCCCTGTATGCTTAGTGCGAGTTTCATAACGTTCTCTATAGCGTAAAAGTTAGCTCATATTTGTATGGAATGGGATCGTTCGCCAACGTTTGCCGCTAGGGGCGCTGTTCCAACTGCATACAAAATTGGGTTTTCGCAATTGGCACTTTCGCAAGGATGTCCGATACCCATACCCATCCAAACGTCAGGGAGAGGTTGGAGGGGTTAACCCAGTGAACACTACACCTGACGCGCGTCTCTCTCCAAATACGTCCAGCTGGCGTTGTCGTCGCAGTGAATCGACGGCTCTACATCTGCTGGTAGTATCGTTTACTGGTGGCAGGACGTCTCGAGTCCGCGCGGGTAGGTACCACCACCCCGCCTATTTCTGCCGTGAAGCAGTAATGCGTTTCGGTTTGAAGGGTCGAGCAGCCGTTGTAACTATACTGAGACCTTAGAACTTATATCTCAAGGTGGGTGGCGCATTTACGTCGTAGATGTCTATGGGCTCCAGTAACCACTTAACACCAGGTGGGCTGTGAGCTCGTCCATCCATCTAAGCAATAAATAAATAAAATCTGCAATCACGTTACGTCAGGCCGCTAACTATCCTAATGGACAAGGATCAGCCTGCCCGGTTGGAAAGGGATACACCGCCAACCGGTCGCTCTTAAAGTTGGATCCGCCTATACTGGGAGGCTGCCTACAAGAACAGATCCTTCTCGAAATCCCTCCTCTGACCCAGAGTTTAACGGCAGCGGATCTCTCGCTCTTACCTCGCTACACCGCCTCCTTTTGCAAGATGTACACTCACAAATCAAGCCTTAACATTAACAACCGAGCATTCATGTATTTTTTTAATAATATGACCGATTGAAAACGTTAGTAGGGTAGTCAAATAAAACCAATTTCTGGTAACACTTTTTATTTCTTTTACAAACAACAAAGGTATACAACAATAAAACCTTATTTAGGTATCCTTGTCTATTCGTTTCTTTACACAAAATGAATCTTTAACCCGTTATATTATGAATGCAAATAGTGTTTTTCAAAGAGCTGTGATCGGCGTATCAAGTCAGCTGTGCGAATGTAACGATTACAGATTATACACGGCAGTGACGTCAGAAGCACCGATGCGTGCTGGCTCTCTCTCTCTCTCTCTCTCTCGCTCTCACTCTCTCTTTCTCTTATTTGGGCGATATAGAGTTGTTTCATTGGCTTTTTCTATTACTATAACTTTTTTGCGCCAGCGAGTCCACAGGCGAGTCCACAGACCTTAAGGACGAAGATTTTACTTCTAAATGATTTACCGACCTTTCAAAACTGGCGCATGGTTGCTACGCAGCAAAAATAGACAAGGTGGTGGTACCTACCCGCACGGGCCTACAATACCCTCGGCCAGCTTATATTTTAGTAATATAACTTACCCCGGATCCCTAGATGTGTGTTAATGAATTTCTGAATTACATACTATCTATCTCTTTGGATATTGTTCATTTCAGTAAAATCATGAATGATGAATCATTATGAAATTATTTGCGTATCTCACTAATTGATATGAATGCATTATTGCAATCTACTATCTACTACCCATAGACGGTTTCGTTTGAAAATCGTGACGTCATCACTATTATCATTTATTGTCAAATTTATGTTTGTTCTGTGTGTTTTTGAGAATTCAACACAAGTGTATATCTATTTTTAAATTTTACCCTCATCTTAGCAGTTAATACAGAGTTAATGAACATCAGATCCTAAGCGGTCCCAACCACTTTGAGACATGAGGTCGTAGTCACATGAGGACGGCGGCCACCCTGCCCGACCAACTGTAACAGAATCCCATCATCTCGATTGTTCTTGATCTTGATCCTGTTGCTTTATAAGATTCCAATAAAAACCCTTCAATTTCTTCAATTGTTCATGATTTCCCATCTGCAAAATAAAAAGACAATTGAAATTAACAATGGAAATTAATTAATAATAATTTATCTACATGATTGCTCTGTCAATTAGTGATTAGGAGACTCCGCTCTCCCTAAAATCTTACATCGAATGTGAAATAACTTAGCCCAAAAAATGAACTGACTATGAATAAAAATGCACGTGTGTGCGTGAGAGTGCGCGTGCGTGTGCCTGTGTTTGTGCGCGTGTGTGTGCCTGTATTTGTACGTGCGTGTGTGCGTGCGTGCGTCCGTGCGTGTGTGTGCGTGTGACTGCGTGCGTGCGTGTGCATGCGTGCGTGCGTGTGTGTGCATGGGTTTGTGTGTATTTGTATGCTGTGTGCGTGTCTTTGTATGGTTGAGTGCGTGCTCGTATGCGTTCACGTGTGTGTCTTAATCTAGCAGTGCCTCATGTGACACATACATTATGTTCTTTATATATAGCATTTTTGTTAGTTTTTATATTAAAAGGGGCTGTCAATGAGTTTCTGGCCGGATCTTCTCAGTAGGTCGCGATTCCGATCAGGCGCTAGATTCCGCGAAGCACTGCTCTTGCTAGGGCTAGTGTTAGCAAATTCTCTCAGGTTGAGCCCGTAAGCTCACCTACCCGTCCGGGCATGGCTGGAATGACATCTAGGCTACAGGTGAATAGGCAGGAAAGAAAAGGTTGTCAAAAATGTACCTCAACAATCTTCCCCTTGTTCAATACGACGATCAGATCGGCATTGATGACCGTGGACAGCCTGTGGGCTATCACCAGCACGGTCCGACCCTTGGCCGCCGTCTCCAGCGCCTTCTGTACGACCTTCTCGCTCGCGGAATCAAGAGCACTGCAAACATCATATCATCTGCATATCGACGCTTGAAAGGCAAACGTGACTAAGCGACAATGCGTTTACTTTACAGTAGACTAATTTAAAGTTGAAATACTGGAAAAAAATCTATTTTAACGAATCTAGCTGTAGGACTGAAATGATTTTAATAGACCTAGAAATATATATTTTTTGCGCATTGAATATGGTTGTTGCCTATCATTTATGTACAAAGCAGTTATTGTCGTTTATTCACGTTTGCCTTTCAAGCGTCGATATAATGAAGTTTGGGTCACAATTGTTTTAATAGCCGCATTAGTTTTTATTTTTTTATTTTACTGCATAGATGGGTGGAGGAGCTCACATCCCACCTGGTGTTTAGTGGTTACCGGAGCCTATAGACATCTACAACGTAAATGCCGCCACCCACCTTGAGATATGAGGTCTAAGGTCTAACAACGACTGCCCCACCTTTCAAACCGAACGCCATTACTGATTCACGGCAGAAATAGGCGGGGGGGGTGGTACATACCCGTGCGGACTCACAAGATGTCCAGACCATTAATAACCAGTAATTACGCAAATTATAATTTTGTGGGTTTGATTTTTATTACACGATGTTATTCCTTCACCGTGGAAGTCAATCGTGAAAAATTGTGATGTACGTATTTGGTTAAAAAAATTGGTACCCGCCTGCGGGATTCGAACACCGGTGCATCGCTCGACACGAATGCACCGGACGTCTTATCCTTTAGGCCACGACGACTTCTCGAGTTTAAGTCGCTAATTATATTTAGAGTCCCTTAAAGATTTTTGAGCATGACTCATTATATTGCTGCGTCCCCTGGGGGTGGTAGTATATGAGGTTCAATAGGTCAACGGCAGGTCTGGTTTGAACCGGTTTGCCAGTAATTTTTCGCCAAGCCAACCACGCGTACCTAGTGGCCTCATCCAGTATTATAACCGGTGGATTCTTCAGCACGGCTCTGGCGATGGCGACTCGCTGCTTCTGTCCCCCGCTCAGAGCCATCCCCCTCTCGCCGACCAGAGTATCGTACCTCTCCGGGAACGACTGTATGAACTCATGAGCATTGGCTATCGTAGCCGCCTGCATCACCTGCAATTACAGCATACACCACCATCACTTCGTGACCGGATTTTGGCGGTAGTTGTTATCCAAACTATTGCTAGTTGTGATAGTGAGTGGTTACCGTCGCCCATGGACTTCAGCAATACCAGGGGCAGAGCCAAGCCGCTGCCTACCATTAAACTTACTTAACTGTTAGATCGTTCAGACAACTTCAGAAACAATGGTCCTCGTTACCTCAGCATCAGTGGCCTCCGGTCTCCCGTACCGGATGTTCTCCCGGACCGTGGTGGCGAACAGGACCGGCTCCTGGCCGATCAGACCTAGCGCCCTCCCGCGGAGCCACTTGCCGTCGAAGTCGCGCACGTCAACGCCATCTATCGACACTTGGCCTTCGTTCACGTCGTAGAACCTATTCAGAGGAATTCGGAAGATCGAGTTCGTTGTCTGGTAGACAGGGAGACATCATTTACGACTACACAATATCGTCGTAGTCCAACCGAAATCAGCTGCTACATGTGCACTTTTTGAGATTTTTACTTTTTGACCTTTTCGTATAGTTCACAGTCCTATCTACCGTTTAAAAAAAAACTGTTATGTGTCTATAGCTTTAATATTTATCTATCTATAGCTTTCATTTGATATAGTTCTTAAAATTCACCTTCATATAAAATTTTATACGAAAATGCTTTCACTCGTTAATTCAAAATAGAGTTTTTGCACATAGCAGATTTTGGTTTGACAGCGACGATATGACATTACAGGAACAAGTTCATACATACAGTACGCAATGGATATATTAGCGTGTTAGTTGGCATGAGATTGCTGACTGAAGGATGACTGCGTTAAGTACATATTATTATGCAGGGATGAAAGGTTATGTCGAATCTGTTGATATTTTCAAAAGGATCCAATTTTCATAATCTGAAAGCATCTAGTAGCACTACTATTCTATCTAGTTCAAAAAGTACCTTTCCAACAGAGCAGCGATAGTAGACTTCCCGTTGCCAGATGTGCCGACTATGGCGACCGTCTTGCCAGCAGGTATTTTAAGATTGAAATCCTTCAATATCACCTGCAAATCAATTTGTTGCATCGTTAGGAAACGTGACCGGGCTCGATAAAATCCGCAACGAATACGTGCTTTTTTCCCCTTTTTTTTTGCTTAGATAATTGGGCGAGCTCACAGCCCACCTGATGTTATGTGGTTACTGGAGCCCATAGACATCTACAAAGTAAATGCGCCATCCACCTTGAGATATAAGCTCTAAGATCTCAGTATAGTTACAACAGATGTCCCACCAAACCGAAACGCATTTCTGCTTCACGGCAGAAATAGGCGGTGTGGTGGTATCTACCCGTGCGGACTCACAAGAGGTCCTACCACCAGTAAACAAGAGGTACCACAAGAGGTCCTACCTAAGCTGATAGCTTTGAGAGGCTATGTCAGCGTAACCGGCGAGTAGGTGAGCTCACGGGGCTCAAACCGGAATGTTTCTGATACTGGCCCTAGCAAGGGCAGTGCTTCGTAGAATCTACCACCGGATCGGATACGTGACCTACTGAGAAGATCCAGTTAGAAACTCAGTGGGCTGTGTGCCTGTGGGTTAATTTACTGGTTACTGAGAGTACGTGCGTGGAAGCCTCAGTGTACGGGACATCGCCGATAAGGTGCAAGAGAGTAGGTTGAGATGGTAACGACACGTAATAACCCTTCTACTCATATCTGTTCCTAAAATATTTATAACTCCTGATACCATACACCCCACGCTTTTTTTTACAATAAAACCTTTTTTTTACACTATTTTTAATTCAAATGTATTAAAATTTATTTTCTATGTTTGGTTTTTCTATAAAAGTGTATTTTGTTAGTATTTTAAACTATTATTTATTTTTCATTTTTAGTTGAATTTCAACTTTTTCAATATTTTTTTTAAATAATGAATTGTCATCGGTCCTTAATAAATAAACCAAATTTCGAGTTAATCCGACGTTTTGAAGGGGGTCAAAATCATGTTCAAATATTCCGTTATAAACATTATATACTACCATACATACATCTGAAGCTAATAAAAGCGTATTCAAATGAAGGCCACCTGACTACGTCGGAAATTTGGGACCACTGCTCGACCTCCCCGGTCGGAGACCTCTAGAGGTACACCCAAGACAAGGTGGAAGGATGTAGTGCTGAAGGAACAAAGGTAATGCAATGTTGCTGACGAGAATGTCGAAGACAGAGCGAAGTGGAGAAGTAAAATAGGAAAAGCTGACCCCAACACCATGCGGGATAAATAGCTAGGAAGAGCGAGAGAGAGAGTTAAACATTAAAATAGCTAGGAAGAAAGAGAGAGGGTTAGGAAACATTAGACACATTGAGCCGAGAGCGGGTAGGAACGTGTGACGTCACGTACACAAGATCTATCCTCGGATTAGGTTAACCTTTGTAAAAAGATAATAACGTTAACGAAAGATGCATTTGATTTACGACGTTAATGACTAATTAATAAGGTGGTAATTACTTTGTGCGAAGATCGCGTGTATATATTTTTTTTTTTTTTGATCAGGATAAATCGATCATTTAACTGAGATCTTGAATCAATTTATTGAAAACAACTCGAATATTAGAAATGCGTTTCCTATACGCACTTAACGACTTATATTTTTTATGTCATACTAACGACTACCATCTATTTCTCTGTAAAAAATCTTTCTTTAAAGATTTCTAACAATAAAAACGCGAGAATTAATCGTAAAAGTAGTTTTAATTATGTCTAAGCCTCACAGAAAACGAAGAAAATATAGTAGTCCTATAAATAAATTTCGTACTTACAGCCTCCGGTCTCGTGGGATAGGCGAATGTGACGTTCTTAAACTCGATGTCGCCGTGAAACTCGTGGTACTTTATATACTTCGTACCGGACGTGTCCATTGCGGGTTTCTTATTGATGTACTGAAAGAAAAACGATGAAACTTATCGATGGATGAGTATTTAATTTATCAAAAAAACTAATTTAGGGTTCATTGGTATCTAGCGATTACGTTATGAAAGATCGGTATTCATCTTTGTTTCATACATGACGGAGTGACTGGTGACGTCAGCGACTGATGACGTCACCGACTGGCGCCACGTTGTTTTTACAGATGATTACGTCAAGCCGGAATGTCTTGTGCGACAATAGTCACTCGTATTAACAATAGAAAAGTGGCGGTAGCTTAATCATGAATTCTCTTGAATATCGCCTTAAACAATTGTTTATAAGCGTTGGACTTTTTTTTATTTTTTTTTATTGTTAGATGGGTGGACGAGCTCACAGCCCACCTGGCGCCACCCAAGTCGAGACATAAGTTCTACGGTCTCAGTATAGTTACAACGCGACCCACTGAGAAGATCGGTAAGCAGCGGCCTGGCTCTGCCCCTGGCATTGCTGAAGTCCATGGGCGACGGTAGCCACTGACCATCCGGTGGGGAGTATTCTCGTCTGCCCACAAGGGCAATAAAAAAAAACCGTCGAGAGCTGGCACTAAGCACACAGGTCCACTGACCTCGAACACCCGACCGCCAGCGCTGATCCCCTTAACGACGGAGCCGAATAGCAGAGACAGCTGCGCCACCGAGCGCTGCACCGTCTGCGCGTTCACCAGGAACGCCATCACGTCTCCCGCCGACATCTGCCCGGTCGACATCAGGTGACCGCCGAGGAACATAGTGCCGAGCACCATTCTATAAATCCCAAGGGAAAATCATCATTATTATCATCGTCAATAGATTTGTGCTGGTGGTAGGACCTCTTGTGAGTCCGCGCGGGAAGGTACCACCACCCTGCCTATTTCTGCCGTGAAGCAGTAATGCGTTTCGGTTTGAAGGGTGGGGCAGCCGTTGTAACTATACTTGAAACTTTAGAACTTATATCTCAGGGTGGGTGGCGAATTTACGTTCTGGATGTATATGGGCTCCAGTAACCACTTAACAGCAGGTGGGCTGTAAGCTCATCCACCGATCTAAGCAATAACAAAAATAAAACGGGATTTTGTAAATTTTCAGAAACCACAAACTGATAAAATTTAATCAATTTGTCTATAACAAATACTGACTTGTATGATTTATTTTTATTTTTATTTTCTGTGTTTAGTTATACAACAAATAAATGCTTTAACTTTAACAACATATAAGTTTAGGGGCATACACCGCAAGATGTGGTTAGTTTCCATACAAAAAAATATTTGTCTTAAAGTATCGCAGTTTCAGGGCCCTGCATAAAATGATGGAAACATTTATCTACCGCGGAGTACGCTTCGATCAATAATAGTACTAGATTAAGGATCAGGAACAAAAATAAGACGCTCCAGTGGCCACGTTTGCAGACACGAAGACATCTTCATTTCTTAGAAAAAAGTTTAATAATGTTAACGACTTCAGTTTATTATAAACCTTAATACTTAAACATAAAGTTTAATTACCATTGCAAAATATATGTATTTAGGTCCTTTCGTCAGAAAAAGAATATTATGGAATAAATTTAAAATGTCACTTGAACATAAAAAGTCATCAGTACAAAAATATTTATTCTAAAATGATACTTAAAGCCTAATTTATAAGGTTAAAAATATTTGTTTAAAATTTCGTGCTTATTGTATTGTGGAACTAGATGTAGTTCTTGGTATTACATTTCAATGCTCAGAACACAGTAAGTATTGAAAGACATAGAGTTGCAGAATATACATATTTGTTTTAGGTTTGTTTTGTATGGTCGCAACTATTTTTGACCGATTCAAAAAAGTAGTAGATAATATTTTACATTGCCGCTATTACAACAAATAGGTGATAAAAAATAAAATTGAATAAAGTAAAAAAAATATGAAAGGAAACACGAAACATGTTTTCCACGTATTCTTTATACAGAAGTAATTAAAACAATAATGTAGGTTTAATTACCTTTAAACAGATTCAGTTTGTTATAAAGCTGTCTTTTAGAAGTCATTTTTATATGAGCGGTTTCTTTTTTACAAATATAATGTAATCTTATATCAATGAATTTTTCTATAATCAGTTTAATTTAGGCTTATTTTATGGCTGTGTTCGTTTCCTCCAGAAAACAAATCCTTTTCAGCATATACGCTTAAAATATTTACACATACATATAAAGTTTTTTTAATACTTTTTTGCATTGATTTGCCACCACCATTGAACAATTCTAGAAATTTATAAGGGTTCTATATTTCTTCTCCTCTTTCTTTCGCGACAATATATATCCATTGTGCACAGCGACAAGGGGCTACTAGGAAATCTACAAACAAAAATAACATTATAAAATAACAAAACTACTCTATGCATTCCCTGTCCAAGAATAGGTGATGTTTGTTACAATAGTTGGTGCCTTGTTGCAGACATTGGCCAAACAATTACAATATTCGTAAATTGTGTTTTATTTACAATATCATTGTGTTTATTATTTTATGAAAAACACTTAATAATATAAATTTACCAAAAAAAGATATTCCTTCCAAAACCTCGGTGTTACGGTGGTTTTTTACTCAGTTTTTGAACGCGCATTGCAGCGTTTTGACGTCTTAGTGTTGGCTATGATTGGACCATACTAATTTGAAATAAGACCACAAATAAATTTGTGGTCTTATTTTTCGGGCCGTTTTTGAAACGCTAATCGCGAATCTAGTAGTATTATTGATCGAAGGGAGTACGTCTAATGTACAATAGTGGTGCTTACCCATTCAAGAACAAGTTAGTCCCGGCCTGAAACAATCCGATGCCGAGTCCCAGCTCCATGCTGAGCTGGGCGGCCTCATCGCACTCCTTGGCGAACATCTGCGCTTCGCTCTCTTCGGCGGCGAAGGCTCGAACCGTCCGCATGTTGGAGAGTGCTTCCTCCGCCACCAACGTCGCCTTTTCTATCTAGAATACGAGGGGAACAAACGAGATGGGTAGGCGAACTCGCTGTCTACCTTGAGTTAAGTTTAAACGAGGCTTGTGGAGATTATTAAGCGGTAGGCAGCGGCTTGGCTCTGCCCCTAGCGTTGCTGAAGTCCATGGGCGACGGTAACCACTCACCATCAGGTGGGCCGTATGCTCGTCTGCCTACAAGGGCAATAAAAAAAATCATGGGAGCCCATAGGCATGGACAACATAAATGCCGCCACTTATCTTGAGACTAGCTATTCCCCGCGACTCCGTCCGCGTGGAATAGTTACTTTGGCATAACACTAAACATACCCCCCCCCCCACCGCCCCCTTCATTTACGTAGAAAGTGAAAATATTTTTGAATTACAGTATGTTAAGGAGCTATTTAAGCCCCTATTTTGAAACATTCTTTATTGGCGCATTATTATATGGGCTATGTAACACTGAAAGATTTTTTCAAATCGGACCACTAGTTCCTGAGATTAGCGCGTTCAAACATACAAACTCTTCAGCTTTATAATATTAATATAGATGTGAGTTCTATAACTCAGATTTTACAGTACTACGGCTGCTGAACCCTTCAAACCGAAACGCACTCCTGTGTCGTAGTAGAAAAAGTCAGAGTGATGGTGGTGACCTATCCGGGTGGGCTCACAAGACCCCCATACCACCAGTAATAATCAAAATCAAACCTTCGCACCCTTCAAACCGAAAGGCATTGCCAGAATTAGGCCTGTGTTACCTGTCCGTATGGGACTTAAAAACGCCCTACCACCAGTAAAGGCTCATTGACGATTGATGTGCGCTGATTTGTAGGACTAGCTACTCATTCTTCGATGTAACCCTTAGTAACCGTTTACGAAATCAACGCGAATTTGTTGGACGAGAAGTAACGATAGTGAACGATAAGTATTACTGGTGGTAGGACCTCTTGTGAGTCCGCGCGGGTAGGTACCACCGCCCTGCCTATTTCTGCCCTGAAGTAGTAATGCGTTACGGTTTGAAGGGTGGGGCAGCCGTTGTAACTATACTTGAGACCTTCGAACTTATATCTCAAGGTGGGTGGCGCATTTACGTTGTGGATGTCTATGGGCTCTAGTAACCACTTAACACCAGGCCGGCTGTGAGCTCGTCCACCCATCTAAGCAAAAAATAAATAAAAAATAAAAAAGACTAGAAGGTACCTGAGTTTGAGCTTCCCTGGACAATTTCCTCAACAGCGAACCAATGAAGGTGCCTCCGATAACAACTGACGGGACGCAGATCATCGTCAGTCCTGTCAAATGTGGGGATATGACTAAGAGGCTCACCGCAGAACCCACCACCTGTAATTATCAATCAGCGGTCACTCAACATGATAGTTAGATGAAATTCTGTTAATACATTAAATACTATAATACTAATGTATTCTTATCAACCTAGACGCCCAGTGTTGGCAACAGGCTTTCCACAAAGCTCGACACGACGACCAGTCTTGCTTGACCTGCATCCACCGGATTCCAATGACCTTCGGCATAGTTGCCGGTCGAGGGAAGGCGAAGAGGCCATCTGTTCTGCAATTTCCAGCCCGGCCCCATGGACTTTAATCATATTGTTACGCCGATAAGAGTAACGCCATCTATCGCCGAATAGTCGAACGAATATCGAAGGATCTAGCAGTACCTAGAATGATCGAGAAATACAACGCCATCTATTGTCAGATAGCGGAAACACAATACTAGAGATGTGTGGAATATTCTCGATAATTCTAGGGATGTGGTATCAACTTTAAAAGCGCTGCAGGGATGGCACGCAGTCAGACAGTAATCGGAATTACTCGAAGCGAAACAGCGAACGGATCACTTGAAGCGAAGCGGGAGAAGCGAATTGAGAGTTTTAAGGTGTTTGTTGAGTGTTTTAAGTGTTCAAAGTGTTGAGTATAGTTTTTAGTTGTACTTTGGTGGAATCTTATTTATCCCAAACCCCAGCGCGTAACAATATAATCCTTTAGGCTATGTCGGTAATCATGGTTCTCCAACAAATCTTATTTCTGATTCTAACTTGCTCTTAACTACGAGCATAACTCGATCCATTGCTTGTGCATGTCTTGTGGTCAAGACAATGGTATTATTAAAAAATAAGGAAAAGTTTCGAAATTCTATTACATTTCTACAAGCTCTTGCCATATCATGGGCATACATCACATCATACCATGGGCAGTTTTGTACTACAATTGCTCAAAATGATTATCTAATTTGTAACAGGTCTGCTGTGTTCAACTGAAGCCAAGCAGAATCCAATTTTTTTAGAAGTAAGCAAAAAGATTAACTATGCTCTCATAGCATTCGGCTGACTATGATTAATATACAGAAACACAGGAATGTCAGACTTTACATATATCTAATAGTGTCAAATTTAATTTGTTGCTACAAAAATACTAACCTGTGTAATAGCTCTAAGACCTCCCGATATGGTCTGTTTGAAAGAGCTTTTGAAGTCTTGTACGTCCACTGTTAACCTGAAATATTTTAAATAAGTTTCAAGTAAACATAGTTATGATTAAATTCTATTTCCGATAACTTGAAAACTACACCATTAAACAATAACATTTGAAAAGAGAGTTTATTAAAACAAAACAGTTTCAAGTTTTTTTTCTATTTTGCATTTGGAAGACATTAGCCACTGGACCTTCCAGTACGTGAGTTCCCTAAGGATTATTCAGTATAGTGCAGAGGTCAGCAACCTTTTGAGTCGAAAGAGAATTTAAAGTTTTGAAAGAGCCATACTTTTTTTTTGCCAACAATAAATAGTACTTGCAAGAATAAAGTTTTTGAAGTGAAAACTTCTTTAGAATCGTTGTGATTTCAAACCGGATGCAACGGAAAAAACGACAGGTAAGAGACACAAATACAAAAATGTGTAGGATGAAGCCAGCAAAGAATGAGACAGAAATATACATACTATTTAATACAGCGCCATCTGTGAGATTTTTTAATACTAACGTGTGTATGAAAGCTCTTGTAGTGAATTTNAAAATGTGTAGGATGAAGCCAGCAAAGAATGAGACAGAAATATACATACTATTTAATACAGCGCCATCTGTGAGATTTTTTAATACTAACGTGTGTATGAAAGCTCTTGTAGTGAATTTTAATTTAGGATTATACGTGAAATTAAAATATCAATTCACAGAGGGCGCTACCTTACAATTATTTACTAATGACAAAATTTATACTTAAGACGTTTAGGATAATTGTATTTTAATTTTGGAAGGTTTCACTTCTACCACGTGTGAATTGCACACATGTAATTTTTTTTTTAATTAGTACTACTTTTTTATAATTTCCTATAGCACAGGAATAATTTTCAGCCAAATTTTCTTGAGCGCTTTTTGATAAGCTTCGAGCTAGTGCGATTTAGGTAACATTGATTTTATTTCGAGTCAAATTGGTAGGCCTTGATACGTTTCAAATGAATTTTGGATTTCGGTGGCTTTCAACAAATTCCTTTAAAAATTCCTTTAAAATAATTATCTATTTATTCATATGTATGTTTTTTCACAACAAATTAGACAAAATATGTTAATATGTATGTATCATTAGATAATTACTTATTATTTAAAGAAAAAATAAATGTGCAGTGAAAAACGAGTATAAGTAGCCTCCTTAATCGATTCAGAATGACTTTTTACTGTTTTCTTTTTAAAGAGGTGTCAATTTAATGCTTATAATCATCTATAACTGCATAATGAACACAAAATCTCTTACCTGTTAACTAATTCCCCAGTTCTTTCTTTATCAAAAAATTCTATATCCTGTCTTAGAATAGATACAAATAAGTCTTGTTTCATTTGAGTGGCCACTTTTTCTCCCACTTGTGACAGCAAGTGAATGTAGAAAAACGTAAAGGCTGCCTGTAATGAAAAAATTAACTATAACAGTAACCACAAGAGAATAATTTATTCGTTCAAATATTATATAAACTATAGTAGGTAGAGGGGGAAGAGGTCGACCGAAGATGACATGGATGGAGTGTGTGAATGACGATATGAGAGAGAGGAGTGAGTGTTGAGATGACGGCTGATAGAAGAGAATGGAAGAGAAAAATTAGCTGTGCTGACCCCACCTAGTGGGATAAGGTGGAGAAAAAGAAGAAGATTATATAAACTATATACATATATTTACACTTATGTGTTTATGTTGTGTATATGTGTGTGTGTTTACTGGTTTTATTGAAATCTGTAGTATATTTATTACATTATATTTGTAATTTTTTGTGTGTTTATATTTCTTTTCTATTATTTAGTCTGCAGTATCGTTGGTTGATTGGCAGAGAATGCAATTAGGCATTAAAACAGCAATGTGGATAAATACATAAAATGTAATAAGTAATTAAAATATTATTGCAAAATAAACTCTAGACAGAACTGATTAGGTCATATCTATGGCCAACAGCAAATCCTCACTGCAGCCTCCTGCAGTAATTCGTTTCAACTGTGTTTTAATAGTTATACTGAATTCATCAGTTATTATATCAACGCTTCAAAAGCAAACGTGACTAAGCGACAATAACTGCTTTGTACATAAACGATAGCAATATTTGATGCGCAAAAAAATATATTTCTAGGTCTATTAAAATCATTTCAATCCTACAGCTTGATTCGTTAAAATAAAATTTTTTTCAGGTATTTCAAGTTTAAATTAGTCTACTGTAAAGTTCATGCATTGTCGCTTAGTCACGTTTGCCTTTCAAGCATCGATATGTAAAATATAATTTTTAGTAATTATATAATACTTTTGTAACTCGGTCAGTATAATTTTAGTTCTATTTATATTGAATCAAAAAAAATAAGTAAATAAGATATCTAATAATCTTTTTAGACAATCTTTATCTTTTCAGTCCCTCTACATAGATAATAGAAATTAAAGTATCACCTGTCCAACATACAGTGAAATCAATTTAAATGCCGGCATCTTGATCTCGTCAATGAAATCTGCAGCCGGATTATTCCTTATTCCTGCTAGAACATTCACTATGACACCGAGCATAGCTGGGATGTACACATTTAGGAATGCCACAGCTAACGCAGACTAAAAGCAAAAAACTAAAAGAAAAACATGACACAAAATTCACCAGCAAAATAAAAAAACCTTGATAGTTATTTTTCAAATGTTTTACTATGATTCTTTTTATCTGCAACTTCTTGTTACTTTTTGATTTCTCTTAATTTTTTATTGCTTTAATGGGTTGACAATGTTACAGCCAACCTGGTATTAAGTGATTACAAAGCCCATTTACATCAATACCATCACCTTGAGTTCTAATTCTCAGTTTTATAGTAGAAAGAGTCTTCATTCTGACCCACACTTCATACGCATTACTGCTTCACAAAATAGGTGGCTTGTGGTAACTTTTTTTTTAACGCTGGGGATTCCATTTATGGTTACCCGGTCAAGAGGGGTATGGTACCTACCCAGGCAGGCTTACAAAACACCCTATCAACAGTGAATATTTTGGATTACTAAGGGCATTTTAAACTATACTTACACCAACAGCAGCTATAAGGAGCCATTTATGAGGTTTTAAATAGTTCAATAATTTTTCCCAATCAAATTTAGCGGTATCCTCTTGGAAATTCGGCCTTCTCTGTATTACTCTCGAAGTCTGAACTGCTTTACAAAATACTGGACTCCTATATAGAAAATACCGAGCGCCAATAGCTAAACTAACTCCTGTACACAATTTCCATGGACTGCAAGGCAATGATTCTCCAGACTTTGAACTTTTTCCACGAGTCTTTAACTGTGATATATATCGATTTAAAGCGTCTGATGGCTTGTTTTTTACTATATTAGTGAAGTATTTATTACTTTTTGAAGCCAGGAACCTGAAAACATGTATTAAATATAACTTTTATGAGATAAATACACAGATAATAGAAAGTATTCATATTAATTTGCTCTGTACCTTTGTCTTGTGAGACAACATAAGTGATTCTGTAACATATACCACATTTTATAAAATTATTTGATATTTCTTAGCCTATAATGAATTAATAATACATGATTAGGTTTTATTTTAAATAAATTAAATTAATAAAAAGTCTTGATCTTAGTTCAAAAATACATGTCAAACGTGACATCAAATGTCAAACGATGACATAATTGGTTGATATCGTTTAGAAATATATACAAAAATTTAAATCAACAAGCGTTTATAAATCTAATTATTTTCTGAAATTGTTCATAGAATTGTTTGTTAAAAATAAATTAAAGGCATTGGAACTAATAGAAAAAAATTATCAAACGGTTACCGGAGCCTACAGAATTAAAATGTGGGTGCCATGTGATCGAAATCTTAATTGCATTTAAATGACAAAAAAAGTAGTTTGTATATTTCAAAATAAATAAATATACTTTTCTGGTGTTAGCCCTCATTATCCATAAAATTAACGATCTCGTGTCCCATAATGCTCAATACTTAGCCTATAAATATTATAACGTGACGGTCAATGCCACCGAATACCGAATAGTGGATCCTTGAAACATAAAATTACAGAATTAATTTGTTTAACAGCTACCTCGCTCTTCAAATGAATGCTTCGCATTATAAATATAGTAGTATAGTACCTATGAATACCATAATGGGCTTTACGCGTACTACCAGTACTAACCTATAAATATTGCGGGTTTATTATTTATTACGCCATTTTGTCTATAATCGTGGAAGTCGTTAGTGAACACAGTTTAATCCGTACTTAAATAATACCTACCTTAATAATATTTCCACTTTGTGGTGATAGGTATCAAAGTCGGTTAATTGAGCACAGGTAAAATGGGGCGATTAGGGACAAATTCCAACTTTATGAGCAATTTTAAGGTAGTTGTTGATGTATATAATGCTATATCAGGATCAAAATGATTGAGTCTTGGGGGCATCTTTGTTGTCTAATTTAAAATTATGCAACTAGCATTCCAGTTTAAGAAAAAAATGCAAAAATAGGTGTAATCCCTATTTACCCGAAAATTGCGGTTAATTGGGACGAAATGAGAAATTTCCTAGGGTTGGCACTACTTTTATTTTTATATATAGTTTTAATTAATTTATTTATTTAGTTGCACCAACAAAGTGATCATCAATAAAAAAAATTGAAAAACTGACAAAAGTTCATGGCAGACATCACCACAATTATAGGTGCAATCGACAGTGCTGATATTTCTATCTGGGTTAAGAGATTAGGTGTGTCGGTTATTCCATGGATTAATCAGATGAATACCCCCACTCTGAACAAATATTAAATATTTTATTATGTATTACTTAGACATTTTTGTCCACCTTGAGATTTCATTGATCTTGTTACATGTCTCTGCAAAATCGACTTACTTATATTAAATTGCTTANTGTATTTATGGGATCAAAATATATTTCATATTATTATGGATAGTATATGCTTGGGGAGAAGGTATGTAGTGTATTAGTGAGGGTACTTGTTCTCCTTTTAATAAAAGGATTGCTAAGTGCGGGTTGCATAAAGACAGACACACAATGAACTGATTTGTTACCGAACACATGTGCTTAAGTTCTTTATTAAATAATAAAACATAATATTGGCGACGATCGTAAAATACTAATATGGAGCGTAAATCAGTCAAATTCCAAGAATTTAATGTAAAATCGGATAATTGGGACAGTTATATTGACAGACTAAAATATTGTTTTGAGGCAAATGGAATTGAAAGTGATACTGTTAAAAAGGCTAATTTCTTTACTGTGTGTGGTGCTGAAGTGTTCGAAACTGTTCTCGCGTTAATTACACCAAGAAAATCTAGTGATGTGACTTTTGTTGAAATTGAAAACATTCTAACCAAACATTACAGTCCGAAACCAAATGAAATTTCGATGTCATACAAATTCTACAAACGAGATCAGGCACCAAACGAATTGGCTTCTGATTATATTGCTACGTTACGCAAAATTAGTTCGGGATGCAATTTTATTGATTTAGAACGAATGCTTCGAGATAGACTGGTGTGCGGCATGAGCGATCATAAGCTTCAGTATGAGTTGTTGAAGAGAGAACAACTTCGTTATGAAGATGTTGTACATGCTATGGTATCATCGGAGAGCGCCGGAAAGTATGTGCGCATGATTCAAAGCACGAGCACGGACACATTTGGTATGACACAGGGTGAGGTAGTGACGTCACATGCCGAGCCTATGGAAGTGAATGTCGTCAATTTCAAACGTAATTTTCGACTGTGCTATCGCTGCGGAGACCGACACGGTGGAGAGTGTCGTTATATTAATTCAATTTGTCATTATCGTAAGAAAAAAGGGCATATTGAAAAGATATGTACATCTAAGAAAAACAACAAAAGAAAGAGCATTAACTATACAGATGATGAATTTCAAGCGCAATTAAATGGTATTTACAACGTGAACACAAATAGTCGGCCCGTACCAGCTTACGAAGTAAAGGTGTAGATGGTGTACCAGTGATTATGGAAGTGGACTCGGGTGCTGCCTACTTTCTTGTGAATTTACATACGTGGCGTCGAATACACTCTCACATGCCCTAGGAACCTTTGATGAATAAATTATGTACTTGGAATAATTCTGCAGTCAGAGTGGACGGTCAAGCCACAGTGCTAGTACAATATAAAGACATCAAGTGTTCTCTTAAGGTTATTGTGGCTCAGGGTTCGGGTCCAAATTTGTTAGGACGTAATTGGTTTGAAGCTTTAGGAATATGTGTAAATGTAAATACTATTAAAGAAATTAATGTGACTGAGGTAATTTTGAATAAACATTATGAAGTTTTCAGAGCCGGACTCGGTACTTATCGTGGGGAACCTGTAAATATTCACCTGAAACCAGGTGCAGTGCTAAGATTTATGAAAGCGCGTCCTGTACCGTACGCTATCAAAGAAAGAGTTGAAAAAGAAATCAATCGCCTGGAAGCTGAAGGAGTACTCCGCCCTGTAACTTTTTCTGAGTGGGCTACTCCAGTTGTTCATATCGTAAAAAAGAATGGAGACGTACGCCTTTGTGGAGATTATCGTAGTACAGTTAATCAGGCTACAGAGTCTGATACGTATCCAATGCCCACCGCAAGTGAAGTGTTTGCCACCATCTCTGGAGGTAATATTTTCTCAACGTTAGATCTTGATCGTGCTTATACTCAGGTGGTTGTCACAGACGATACAGCACGTCTCCTAACCTTAAACACATGTAAAGGTCTTTACACGGTACATCGGCTAGCTTTCGGCGTCAAGGCTTCCCCGGGTATATTCCAACGCTTAATGACAGCATTACTAGCTGGCATATCTGGTGTTGCAGGTGCTAATCGATGACATCATCGTTAGTGGTAGAACATGAGGCGCTGCTCGGAATGGGAAGCTCTGTCATTCTGGCGGGTGACCTAAATTGTAAACACGTCAGGTGGAACTCTCACACCTCAACCCCTAATGGCAGGCGCCTCGACGCGTTAGTAGATGATCTCGCCTTCGATATCGTCGCTCCGCTGACCCCGACTCACTACCCGCTAAATATCGCGCATCGCCCGGATATACTCGACATAGCGTTATTAAAAAACGTAACTCTGCGCTTACATTCGATTGAAGTAGTTTCAGAGTTAGATTCAGACCATCGTCCCGTCATTATGAAGCTCGGTCGCGCTCCCGATTCCGTTCCCGTCACGAGGACTGTGGTGGATTGGCACACGCTGGGCATCAGCCTGGCTGAATCTGATCCACCATCGCTTCCGTTTAGTCCGGACTCTATCCCGTCTCCTCAGGATACCGCTGAAGCCATAGACATCGTAACGTCACACATCACCTCGACATTAGATAGGTCATCGAAGCAAGTTGTAGCGGAGGACTTCCTTCACCGCTTCAAATTGCCCGACGATATTAGGGAACTCCTTAGAGCTAAGAACGCCTCGATCCGTGCGTACGATAGGTATCCTACCGCGGAAAATCGTATTCGAATGCGTGCCCTACAACGCGACGTAAAGTCTCGCATCACCGAAGTCCGAGATGCCAGATGGTCTGATTTCTTAGAAGGACTCGCGCCCTCTCAAAGGTCTTACTACCGCTTAGCTCGTACTCTCAAATCGGATACGGTAGTAACTATGCCCCCCCTCGTAGGCCCCTCAGGCCGACTCGCNTTTGTACCTAAGACGTCCCCAATATCCCCAAAAACAACAGATTTTTACATGTATTTTTATTTAATCAAATACATTAAAACCAATAACAACTGAGACTTACCTTTAATATATATGCTGGCTCAAACACTAAATAACGTTTATAAATCATAGTCGTCTTCTATTATTATCAAATAAATAAAAGAGAGCAAAGTTTCTAGCACTAAAATAATGACCACCACAGGAAGTTAATTTGAAACGCGATTTTTTATAAGTTAGCAGCTATTATCATGCATATTCAGAGTTGTTTTGTGAACTTTCAACATTCTACTATTAAACTACAAAAAATGGAAGATTTTGCAACGAATATAAAACTTATATTGAGCGTCGAAAGATTTTCCCGGTTTTTTCCCGATTCGCCTGTCAATCCCTAATCGCCCCATTTTACCGGTACTTTTTTATTGCATATGTGAGACGAGCTCACGGCCCACCTGATGTTTTTTTTTTTTCTTCTTTATTGGAGCCATACACTTAATAGGTTAAGGCGGCTGATGTTAAGTGGTAAAATAAAATGTAATGTAACTGTTACTGGTCGTAGGACCTCTTGTGAGTCCACGCGGGTAGGTATCACCGCCCTGCTTATTTCTGCCGTGAAGCTGTAATGCGTTTCGTTTTGAAGGGTGGGGCAGCCGTTGTAACTATACTGAGACCTTACAACTTATATCTCAAGGTGAGTGGCGCATTTACGTTGTAAATGTCTATGGGCTCCAGTAACCACTTAACACCGGGTGGACTGTGAGCTCGTCCACCCATCTAAGCAATAAAAAACTTACCTTGAGATATGAATTCTAAGGTCTCAGTTTAGTACAACGGCTGCCCCACCGTTCAAATCGAAATTCATTACTGCTTCACGGCAGTAATAAGCAGAGTGGTGGTACCTACCCGTACGGACTCACTATAGGTCCTACCGCCAGTAAAAACC